CTTACCAGAGTATCTTAGTACCATACCACCTGCTGTAAACACATAGATCATGGATGTCTGGTGGAACGCGTTCTTGTGCGTGTGTGGCATATTTTATGCTTAATAAGTGCTCAAATGCCGTGAAAATGGTTTAAAATATGAATATGAATATCGCCACAGGAAACTTCGCCCGCGCACGCGTGAGTGTGTCCAAGCTGTGAATTTATGGAAACTAATTATTCATAGTATATCCAATATTTCTCAAGCAGCGTCAAATACTGTTGTTCGGGTGCTGTGTCCCTATAACAGCCTACCACACAGCACGCTTTATATGGTCACTTGGCATATAAACTTTATACTATACATTATGCATTTCATATATTTTGTCCTCCGATATTTACAGTGTGTATATAAGTATATATTTCTCAGTGCTGCTACAGGTGTAACAGCATCACAGCTCAGCACACAGCACGCCTTATACGGTCACTTGGCATAAATTTATATATTACAACATGCATTTATATTTTGTCTTACTGTAATACTCGCTATTACACGTGTGTATATATATGATGTATAAATATTCCTGTCCACGTTTCATCCATTTGTTGGAGACAACTTCATTTGTTTGCCACACCTGTAATTATTAAAAGTCTTTCAGGTATCTTAAGTCTATCGTATATATATATGTCATCTTAGGGAGGTTAATGTGTCATGTCAAATTATTATTATTGTTGTTGTTTTATGTATCAACTCTGAAAAGTTTTTTTGAGTCTTTTATTTATGTTTTGTACAACATTTTGAGTACAATTATCTTGGTAAATTATGTATATGTATGAGTTTTCTTCACTGGCTAAGAGATATCTCTCTTGCTGTTGAGAAATGTTGTGAGATAACTCATTATTACTTGCCGATGAGACGAAATGAGAATACTCTAGGGCAGAGCTTTAGATATGTTGAGAGAGACGCTAATGTTTAAGGTATGTATATGTAGACGATGTAACCACGCTGGTCGTGATAGTATCTCTCCCTTTTTCTCAAGTTTTGCCTTGGTCCATTTATGCTTCTCTCATTTTATACCTTCAATTGTTCACCTGCATTTCAACTTTCTACGTTGCAAGTTTCAGTATTGTAAAGCCCTGCACGGGTCAACATACACTAGACCTCGACTTCTTCACCGAGTACAACAAACACTGCAACACAACCTTGACTTAATTACTATGCGCAACAAACTGTAATACGACCTTGACTTCACTGTGTACAGAAACAGTGCAACATGAATTCAATTTCTTCACTGTGTGCAACAAACATTGTAACATGACCATAACTTTACTGTGTGCAACAAACAATGCAACATGACCATGACTTTACTGTGTGCAACAGTGCAACATGACCATGACTTCTTCAATATGCAACAAACAGTGCAACATGACCATGACTTCTTCACTGTGTGCAACATGATCATTACTTCTTCACTGTGTGCAACAAACAGTGCAACATGATCATGACTTCTTCACTGTGTGCAACAAACAGTGCAACATGACTATGACTTCTTTACTGTGTGCAACAAACAGTGCAACATGACCATGACTTCTTCACTGTTTGCAACAAACAGTGCAACATGACCATGACTTCTTTACTGTGTACAACAAACAGTGCAACATGACCATGATTACTTCACTGTGTGAACAACAGTGCAACATGACCATGACTTCTTCATTGTATGCAACAAACAGTGCAACATGACCATGACTTCTTCACTGTGTGAACAACAGTGCAACACAGCTTCTGTGATCTCATGTAATTTCTGTAGTGATTTATTTTATATATTTTTCTCACCTACTTTGTATATACAGTGTATAAAGTATGACTTTAGGAAGTCTTTTATTATGACCTTTTACTTTATGTCATGTTAACGATAATGATGGTAATGATAAAATAACGATAATGATATGGGCAAAATGAATAAGGATCAAAATAACACAATAATAATAATAATAATGATAATAATAACAATAATGATAATAATAAACAAGACTTACAGCTGTCAGTAGTGGTAATATAACATTACAGTTGTGTTCAGAGTACAATGTTACAGTTTACCACCAGAGTACTGAGGTCTTCCTGAGTGAAGTGTTACCGCTGTCTCTGACCTGAGTTACTTGTTCTTCTCTCTTTATTACACTCAAGAGCAGCTGGTTCCCCTGGTGAGGTATGCCGAGTGCTGAACCCAACCATCACCTCCCACACTCGGCTAAGTGACATAACTTACAGGGGACCCAAAATAGACACAGAAAAAGTCAGAAAAGAAAATCACAGAAAAAGATCTGAAAAAGTCACAGAATAAAGTAAAAAAAAAAAAACAGCAAAGGTATTCTGGGTATTCTACTATTATTATTACTACTACTATTATATGTCCTACTTTTATTGTTAATAGTACTTATTATAAAGACTACTTCGACTATTAAGCCTTATCTGTTTAAGCCTATTAAAACATAAAAAAAAATACAAATTGTCAAATATATACCAAACTGTTCTCACTTATGACATTATCCACTCAGACGTAAATCCCGCAGGAAGACGTAGGATACACACTCTCTTCACCCTTACTCATGCACCCCGTAATGTTCAAACTAACAACCTGAGAGACGTATAACCGAGTTCCTTCAAGCTGAAACAATTACAATATATAAATCAATAAACAGTGATGAAGCAAGGACGAAGGAACAGCATCGCCAATTGTAACCTAAGTAGACATCAGTGGTGCCAACGTAACTACAACTCTCCTTTCGTGTTCTACTTCGCTTCAGTATCTCTAAGTATGTGATTATACCAATACTATTTTTAGGGCTGGCTGTACGAGACACTATAATAATGAGTTATGATGAGACATTCACCATACAAACACTACACGAGACACTATACAACACCTGTAAGTATGATGCAAATGTTGGTAACACTGATTGTAAGCTGGTGGGTATAATAATAATAATAATAATAATAATAATTAACGGTTTATTGAAAGAGCTTGGCAGCCAGAAGGCGTGTGTGTGTGTGTGTGTGTGTGTGTGTGTGTGTGTGTGTGTGTGTGTGTGTGTGTGTGTGTGTGTGTTTGTGAAGGGGGTTGATATGTGTGTTTTCCTACATTTCGGTAGAGTATGATATCATGTCTGTGTCACTGAATTCCCACTGCAGGAGAGGATAACACACAGGAAAGCAAGACTACTGTACTGTATATTGTATCGACCTTAACCTACAGTCGCCTTCATTACAGTCCAATATACAGTTATCGTCTCCTTCAGTGGGATTTCGGTATTGCGATTAATGTAGTATTACGTCAGTATGAGATGATGTTAGTTTAGATTATTACGGCCAGTGTGATATTATCTCCCTGTGATATACCAGTATGATACTAAGTCAGTGTTATGTATTAGTATTTTATCTTATCAGTATGATATCGCGTCAATATGAGTTCATGTTGTTATTACATCATATCAATGTGATATTTCGTAAGTGTGATGTATTCGTATGATAACATGTTTATTACATTAAGGTTAAGTCAAATATTGCATAAAACCACCAAAGGTAACTGATATTATATTCAAGTGGGTTGTGGTGAAGGAAGTACAGTTATCGGGAAGTGTGAGGAATACTGACAGCAGTGACAGAGCGCTTGAGAGAAGACAAAGGCACTTTATCGTTAACCGCATATCAAGGTTGTCATAGTTCAAGGTATTGGCCACCATCATGCGTGAAGGCTCTCAGCTTTTCACAGAACTGAACATGTGACTCAAGGTATGGTGGTACGGCTGACCAGAGAGGAAGATATCTTAGTGAGTGATGGAGTCAGAGTGCTGCTGTAGGTCGTCTTTACGGGCCAGGCGGGAGAAGCTTTTCGTCACAGGTTCTAGGAAATTTCGTCACCGCACAATTCGTCAGCGGTTCAGTATAAACCTAACTTAACCATGGCTTCATCGCCACCAAAATAAAGACAGTATTACCTAAATTTAATAAATATAACACGGTATTCAATAGACCGGTGACGAAATGTCCGCCCACCCTCGTCGCCACCCCGAGGACAGGCCGCTTTTACCGGAACATCAACGGCGCCATGGTTGAAACGTCCTCACTGGTAGGAATTTAAAGAAATATGTGAACATGCTTAGAGTTGTCCTCATTTAGAGAAGATAGAATAAACAGGTGTTTGAGTTCTGGACACCGGGGGTAGGCAGGAAGAGAGATCCGAGATAATGAGACCGTGACGAATCTGGTTAGAGGTTGGAGGTAATGGCTTGGTAAATGGCTATTAGTTCAAACTGTAGGAGAGACGACAAGGTAGGAAGTCAGATGATGGAAGCTGGGCATCAAGAGGCCATCGTGTACTGTATGCAGAAGGGCGTCCCAGCAGCACCACAGGGAAGGACTGAGCTGTTGGTGTAAGGGAGGTGAAGTGAGTTTGTGCTTATATGAATAATGTCAGTGACTTGATAAGAAGGAAGTTCATCTGACTCTTAGCAAGAAGTACGATGAATGTCAGGTGGGACTGTCCTAAATGGGGACTGTGATTAATGGGGCGGGAAGATAATAAAACTGTCTCTGATGAACCAGGCTGGGAACCCCTCCACTAGGTGTTTGGGAGGGGAGGTGGGGAATGAAGTTCTCCTTATGTTGTGTAACCGAGGTAGTCAGGGAGTCTGGGGGCGAATATCATGAAGGGAAATGGTTTGAGAGTATGCTGAGGCATCGACAACAGTCTCAGTTAAATGTTGAGTGAAGTGAAACATTAAGGAGAGAAGTATTGGGGCTTGACTCCTCGGGATACTTCAAGGTTAGATCTCTAAGGACGAGAGGTTGAACGTCGAGTTCAGGAAGTACGGTGACGATCCTCATGGATGGTTGGGGACTTGTCCTGGGTGACATCGAGGGACAAAAGATGTGACCTGAGAGCTAGTCCACCAGGAATGTGTGTACAGGTGGATGAGGAATCTAGCAATTGGAATACTGATCCCGAGTTCCTTTTACAGATGGAGTGAAGTGGTCGGATGGGCGTTAGGAGAAGAGTCTTGAGTTTCCTGAGATGTCTGAGTGGTTGATGCTACCCAGAAGAGTGATCTGTGCTCAGTCTTGAGCTGGCTGGGGTCACTGACAGTCTTTAACGGTGTTGATGATGAGCACTCAGGATATTGTTACTTCTGCAAAGGAATGCAAAAGCTGTTGAAGGGCAGATGAAAGGCGGGTACTGAAGACATTGTTCAAAAGGAAGTGGCCGAGAGGAATCTCTTAAGGGCGTTACAATCTGAGAGGAACTTCGTAATCCAGGTGAACAGCCTCGGACCTTTACCCCAGCGGGCTACTGGATGTCGAGAACTGCTTTAAGATCAATGAAGACTGTACAAGAATTCTGAGTAAGGCGGCTCAGAGGACGAGTGGAGATGAGTTCAAGAAGGCAAACCAATACGATCTTCCCCATGACTTACACAGGTGAGAGAGATATGAAAGTAGTCCGAATTGGGTTTTGAGGAAAGGTACACCAGTGTTTGCAGTCAGGACTGCTGGTAGACTACTTATAGTTAATGTTATAGAATCGGAGGTGTAGGTTACCAGGAACATGAGTCAGAAGGCAGAGTGTGTGACGTACTGTAGGTAATGTGACCATCTCCGGGAGTTGTGGTTTTGTCCCTATGAAGGATAACCGGAGGCCTTCTGTCGTGATGGGCAGGATGGAATTTTATTGTTTGTAAGAATGAACGTAATAAAAATCTGCCTTATAAATGATTTTTTATGAATTGTGAAAAAAAAAATGTACATTATATTATACTTGAATCCAACAACTAGATATTTATGTAATATTATAATAGTTACTCATACAACGTCTTAATTTTCTATGATATCAGCCATAGAAAGTTATATATTAGGGAACACAATAATAAATGGTACAAAGTCGCTCTCGTTAGGAAAGATTTACCTTATTTACCTAATAGTCAACTTTAACAGGGCAGCTCCAGGAATATAAACGGGGGAGGGGTGCAAGAAGCTTTGGAAGAGGGAACAAGGCAAACAAAGCGAGTCCACTCACCTAGGGGGCACGCTTTGAACCCCCCCCCCAGAATATTTTTTTAAATCTGACCAATATCATGGGCATTTTGAGGCCATTTTAAGCCATGTGCACCTAATATTAGGAGATATTCTGAGGTCAACAGTAAATACTTTATACTATACAAAAACACCTGAGTACAACACTGTATTAAAGAAAGTGTATTGGAATTTTCTGATGAAACGGGAGGTTCCGGACCCCCAGGACCCCCCTTAAAGAAACTGGAAAGGAATCAAGAGAAACTTTATTCCATGGTATCCAAATAAACAGAAATATTTTTTTATAATGTTAAGTTGACAATAAAACAGATAATTACCAGACTATTGATAACATTATAATCAACCTGTAGAGCTAATAATTAAGCTGAGCTAATTATTACGTGAAGCTGATTATCACGTGGAACAAATTATTATACGGAGCTAATTGTTTAATGGAGCTCATCATTAATTATAAACATAAATAATTCTAGTAATTATTAGTTGGACCTAATTATCATGCTGAGCAAAATAATTCGCGTCTAAATAAGTTCACATAATAATTGAGAAGTAAAGTTATAGGCTATATCTAAATATAATCACCTCGATTTTTAGTCGTGCTAATTAACTGTCAGGTAAACTATATGTGAGAGTTAATCATCAAATACGTTGGATTATATAGACTTAATTATCAGATGGACTATCACGTGGGGCTAATCATAATGCGGAGGCAATTATCACATGTAACTAGTCACAAAGTCGAATTACTCCCATGTAATTAATCACTGGGTGGAGGTAATCATCAGGTAGAGGTAATTAATTATATAAACATTCCAGACATCCGAGGAATTAGTTCATCAAATTATATAACTCATAATGATCCGCTTGTAATTACATTGATAATTCCTTACAAACAACCAATTACTAATATTAAATAACTCCTTTGACATAGCTATACATTTAATAACTCTTCACTTAAAAATATTACTTAGATTTTATGACTCTAAGTACATAATTATTACTCAGATTAATAAATATTCAGATAGAGTACTAATTATATTAATAACTCTTCAGATAAAGATATTACTTACATAAATAACTCATAAAACACTTCTTTTACTTCTATTTAATAACTCCAGACAAAGACAATGTTTATATTTGATGACTCCTAAAACACTTCCATTACTTAATAACTACTCAAACACAGGTCATCACTTCATCAATAAGAACTATTTCAGTCGTTAGGGTCAAGAGGTGATCAATGGGTTCATCTTATCGTCCACTGGAGCTATTCAACACTTCAGTACTAGGAGTTTATTTAAGGGAGCAATTGAATTTCAGCAGTAGCTTATCATTGTGTGGTTTGTCATAAAGAACGGCTAATTCAGTGGAGCTAAATGGGTCAGGTCACCGTCGGGAGGTGGTTAGATAGGTCAGGTCACAGTCAGATTATCATAAACTACAATAGGTCAGGTCACCATCAGGAGGTGGTTAGATAAGTCAGGTCACCATCAGGAGGTTATCATACACTACAGTAGGTCAGGTTCACCGTCAGGAGGTGGTTAGATAGGTCAGGTCACCATCAGGAGGTTATCATAAACTACAGTAGGTCAGATCACCGTCGGGAGGTGGTTAGATAGGTCAGGTCACCGTCGGGAGGTGGTTAGATAGGTCAGGTCACCGTCAGGAGGTTATCATAAACTACAGTAGGTCAGGTCACCGTCGGGAGGTGGTAAGATAGGTCAGGTCACCGTCAGGAGGTTATCATAAACTACAGTAGGTCAGGTCACCGTCAGGAGGAAATCATAAACTAGGTCAGGTCACCGTCAAGAGGTTGTAAGGTATTAGTCCCTGGCACACAAGATTTTCTTCACGATGGGGTGAGAGTTGCAGTTAAGGACCTTGAGCTCCCGGCTGGCACAGAAGCGGTAACAGTAGTGAGGATTGTCACCCCACTGTGGCTGTGTTAGGGGGTGAAAGAGAGGGTGTGGTTAGCGTTGGTGTGGCTGTGTGTTGAGGAGAGAGAGAGAGAGGGGGTGTGGTTAGCGTTGCTTTATAAGATTATACTAACAGAATCACACTCACTCGTATTATACTTTAACGCAAAAAAATACACAAAAAACAGTATATAATTTGTACAGGTGAGGAAAGAAAACAAGAGCCACAGGTTTAATGCCAAGTTATCTGTTCATAGACTTAATTAACCTAACCTTATCGAATGTTACCTATCTAGTATTATTTTATTTTTCGTTTTAAATACAGGATGGTCATCATGGGTGATATATATATATATATATATATATATATATATATATATATATACATATGCAAGTACATCACTGTAGGTGCGCGTGATCCAGGTATATGCTGATAACCACAAAGAAAGAAGAAAACCTGTACTCACCCCTGAAGATGTGAATTACACGAAAGCGCTTGGGAACTTCGTGTTTTCTTCTTTCCTTGTGGTTATTAGCATATATATATATATATATATATATATATATATATATATCAACATAAATTTCGTAAACAATAAAATAAATAACAGTAAAGACCTTAACTATACAGATGAGAGGAAAACATATATCTCAGTAATAAGTTTAAGTAATAAATAACTAAATAAATCCTGAAACAAGATACATATATTTATATTTCCTTTGTCTTTTATATTATACTTCATTATTATTATTATTGTTAGCTTCAGCGTTATTATAACATTCATTATTATTATACTGTACTATTATTATCACCATCATCATAATCATTATCACCATACTTATCATCCTCCCCCTGCCTCATCTTCCACACTTCAGCTACTCACGTCAGTGATGGTGAAGTGTTTAGCGAGCTCCGTGTCCTCGAAGACAGTGCCGTCTTGCCACACCTTAGTGCCCGTTGTGCTTTTCAGCGACACCCATACCCCGTCATTGTCCAGACCTGTACCACCACCACATGAACACCTCGTTGTAGCGTTATAATATGATGACATTAATTACTCATTATATTAAAAAACAATGGAAATAATTACACTACCATACCTTAAAACACAATGGAAACATTTACAATATGAATGGCGGAGAAAACGTTCTGCAAACTGGATATACAATAAAAGGTAGACTACAGCAGAATCTCAACCCACTTTTTATTTTTCATTGTATAGTCGCCCTTCACTTCAAAACCCTTACAACACTTGTTCTTCAGATTTACTATACCAGTCTTATAGAAGTCTTCCAACTGCTTTAATCTCTCCTCGGTAGCCTCCTTCAGCTTACCATCATCATTTATCGTAAAGGAGACGCTCTTAGGGGCTGTAGGATGACCACAGTCGTACATAGACACCTGTGTGACGTGGGATGTATGAACCTGCTCGGTGTCATGGAGCAGACCCGCACCTTCACTCAGTGTTTCTTATTGTTTCTACTGGGAGGCATTGCGTCATTTTCGCATAAGGTCAGCTTGATAGTCACAGATGATTGCTGCTTTATGTGGCCATCAGCCTTCTTTGAGTCGGAGAATTTATGTGCTTCTATTGCAAGGATTCCACCTTTGAATTGGAGTCCCGGTGATAACTCCAGGTCTCATCTCCCCCATTACCAGATGGGAAAGAGAGTTGGCTGGATCAGCTTCGTACAGTTTAAGGAGCTGTTTACTCGCGGTCATCCTTGGTGTCGATCCTGAGCGGTTAGGCTTCGGGAGGTCACTTTAAACATACCCAAATATTCACTGATGATGGTCACAACATTTCCATGTGAAAAGTCAACTTCAGCGCTTACGTCAACAACTTGCATACACCGGACCACCATAAACAAACTCTCGACCACAGTTATCCCGTCGGTGGCACCTGAACACCGTCGTTACCAGGGTCATCCTCAGCCCGCCCCCCTCCCCCCACATTCCCCTGACTCCTTTTTGACCTATGAGAGGAGATCTGATTCATCCCTTGCTACCTTACGTCGATGCATTTTCACTGTTGTGGAACCTTCTTTTGTTTGACATATTCTGACACTCCAATGCTCAATTTTGCCAAAGATTGTAATTTTCTCCGACGTCACACTTTAGCCATTAAATAATAAATTCTACTATATCAAACAAATACCCAAACATTCAACTTACTTTATATTACCCAAATATTAAAACCCAGCCATACTGTTTTATTCCTTCCTTAACATACAACAGAAACAGTAACAACACAGTACATAAAAATAACACAAATTGACAATACACTAAACTGAAGTACAACACTGGGCAATACAGTGCAATACTATGTTTCAGTTCATAAATGAAAATAGCAGCATTAAACATTATATTATGATATTGTACTAAATACAAGTTGAGTTAACCGGGTTAGCCCGAGTGGATGGACAGGAGATAGTGCAACCATCCCTTAGGCACCCGCACCTCCCTACCAAATTTCAGCTCTTTATCTTGGAAACTGTGAAAATGCATACGGAACACACACACACACACACACACTTACTGAAGATGTCATAGATCTTGGTAACCTGCTCCATATACTTGATGCTGGCTGGGTATCCGCCTTGTTTACTACACTCTGTCGCCATTACGTTATCGTTCACGTCATATACAGTCGAAGCAGTGAGGAACAGCTTCATCTCTGGTCACGGGGAGGGAGACACGAGACAGGTAGAGGGAAGACACAGGGGAGAAGACAAGAAAACAATAGTGGGAGGACATAAGGGAGGAAGAGGTAGATAGAGGAATGAAGGGAGAGAAAAGAAATAGGAAGGAAGAAAGGAGATAAAAAGAGATAGAGGGAAAGAGAAAACAAGAGACAGATAACGAGAGGAAAAGTAATAGAGAAGAAGATATAGAGAAGAATAAAACAGAGAGAAGGAGGAAGAGAGGAAGAATTA